GAAAAAGAAGATTCAGAAAAGATTATACACAATTGTTTTTCCAATAGATTTGTGATGCGAATTTAAATTTGAAATCCCAGAGAATTTTTGGAAGGAAGTTATGACTTATTGTGGCCATGGTAAGTGTAGTTTAGGGAGGTTAAAACGGGCATGAGAGATGATAGCTAAATTGGATCCGTTAGTTGGTCAGTCGAAACCCTTTCCGTCTTTGAAGCTAACACCATTTCTTTGCTCTTGGGTAAGTTGCCAATTTATGCTTTTTTTCTTCACATTTCCTTATATTGTGCTGTGTTGAACACATTTTAGCTCTGCATGATGCATTTCTGTCTCACTTGGTCATATCACTTGAGTTCCTCTTAGCCTCTGAATGAGAGATATCTTCATAGCTTTTAAGATTGCTTTCTTTTGTCAATTTTAATTCATCTGTTTTTTTTTTTTTCAGTCATTTGATCAGATAGCTTAAGCAAAGCAAAGAAAAAAGATTAATGATAAAAATGCTTTCTCATGCTTTCTGCTGTCAGCCTTGAGATGATTCTATAAAGTGCATGTGTGTGTGTGTGTGTGTGTGTGTGTGTGTGTGTGTGTGTGTGTGTGTGCGTGTGTGTGTGCGTGTGTGTGTGTGTGTGTGTGTGTGTGTGTGTGTGTGTGTGTGTGTGTGTGTGTGTGTGTGTGTGTGGGTGTGTTTGTGTGTTTGTATGTTTGTATGTTTGAGTATTTGTGTGTTTGAGTGTGTGTGTGTGTGTGTGTGTGTGTGTGTGTGTGTGTGTGTGTGTGTGTGTGTGTGTGTGTGTGTGTGTTTGCGTGTGCGTGTGCATGTGTGTGTGCGTGTGTGCGTGTGTGTGCGTGTGCGTGTGCGTGTGCGTGTGCGTGTGCGTGTGCATGTGCGTCTGCGTGTGTGTGCATGTGTGTGTGTGTTTGTTTGTTTGTGTGTGTGTGTGTGTGTGCGTACACGCTTGTTTAGGCGAGGGTGAATGTATACTTGAGTGTATGTGGTTGTGCACATGTGTATGTATAGGTGTTTGCATATGTGTATGTTTTTTGTGATTATGTAAGTGCTTGTAAATATCTTGTGTGTGTGTGTGTCTGTCAGATCCTGTCTTACTTGTGTATCTTCTTTGTGCAGTAACAAAAAAAGAAGAAGAAAAAAAAAAAAATCTGCTCTTTATACTTATGTAACCACACTTCAGGCCAAACTAACCATTCTCATTTAACTGGAATGAACCTATTTATAAAGAGATGAGCATCAAACTATTCTTGAGGGACACTCAATAACCACACCCAGAATCTCAAGCCAAACCAAGACTCTTTTATTCACAATTCCCCAATTTTGCAGGCTCTTCTACGCTGGTGCCCTCGAGGGCCAAATGCCCGAGATCTTGACCATGATCCAGGTTAAGCGCATGACCCCAACACCTGCTGTACTCTTCATGGCATTCCTCAGTCTTGCATATCTTGGATCCAGCAACATCTTTGCACTCATCTCTTACGTCGGATTTGCTACTTGGGTTTGTGATTTTCTTTTTTTCTGCTGTTTTTCGTAAATATGTTGTCACTGTGCCAAATGCAGTGACTACTTTTTGAAAGAGATATCTACATGGAATTATTGTTTTATTTGACAACCCACTTTTTCTTAATAGTTAATTTTTGTATTGTATATATATCTCTTGCTATTAATCACCCCATGGTTTACATTCCAATATGTTGTTAATATGGCTATACATCAGTACAAATTTAGTACATTTTTCCCTATACAGATATAAAACCATGAATAAATTTCATTCTCTATAACTAACTATTAGTCATACAGTAAAATTTGCCCCAGCAGATAGTTCATACCATCCTATTACAAAATTACCAGCCTTTGTTCCTCTCGCCAGCTGTCCATTGGCCTGGCTGTTGTCTGCGTCCCTCTGTTGCGCTACACACACCCTGACCTTGAGCGGCCTATTAAGGTGAACCTCGTGTGGCCCATTCTCTACATCATTGCCACCATCTTCATCACTATCGTTCCGATGATTGCAGCTCCTGTTGAAACTGGTGAGTTTGGGATCGAAGAGAGGAAATGAGGATCTAGATTAGGGAGTGAGAATGACTGTTTAGAATTAGGAGTAAGGAGGAGTCAGGAGTAAGAATTACAGAGTGACGTGAGCTGTGTAGATGTTGGAATAGGGAGTAAGACTTGGATTGTAAAGTGAAGGAGTGAGACAGAAGTCAACAGAAGAGAATAGAGAAAGGCTGAGATGGTTTTGTGAGCTTAGGGCGTGATTGTTAGGATAGGAATGGGAATCTTAGAATAGGGATATAAGAGTTTAAGCATGACTGATATTTTACTTATTTTTATGTGATAACAGTACACGTCACCATATGTTGTGTGTGGGTGTGTGCAAGGGTGTAAGTATGCCTATGTATATATGTATGAGTGTGACTTTGTATATGTCTATGTTTGACTTATATCAAACAATTTTCATGTACTTACAGATCACCCATGAACATTAGCACG